TATGGAGGTGGGGGGGGGGTTCAGGGGGGCATCATCCCCCCTGAATTTTACCATAATTTGATGTTTCGCAGTTTGGTTGCATCCCTGTTCTTTGTGCGTTGCCAATTTGGTCATCAAGACTTTTCTGGATTCTTCTCTTGTATGAAAACAAATGGATCATGGACTTTAATGAACGGAACTCTACAAGATCACCAGCTAGATCTAAATAATATGGATGATTAAAGAGTTATTACATAAAGTTGATTTTGGACGTCATTGGTCACACCCGGCAACGGGTATCCCACCGGGCGCATCGGCTGGCAAAGCCGGCACAACTTGAGCAATAAAATTTGAACAGAGGACCCCTTTGCCTGAACTTTGAACCTTCAAAAACTTGCTGTGAACAGCAGTGGACCTCTACCACTCAGCGCTTCTTCGTAGAAACAAATTAAATGAGAATAAGACATAGAGAGATACCTCTCCACTAAATAGATTAAATATGAAATGGAAAATAAAATCTAACAGTACAGTACAGTTCAATAACAACATTCAAATTCAACAAACATAGATTTCTATGTCTATATATATCATATAATATATATACGAAAAAAATATTGATCTGAGGAAAATTGACCCCCAGAGAATCAAAAAGGAATTTAAAAACAGTTTAGAGCATACCTATACGAGGGAGCATTTCGTCCTCTTCAGTGCATGACACTTTATCGAATGAAGACGGAAATGAAGATAAAAGCAGGAACAATACCACAACTGATAACACATATTGGCCGGAAAACCAGGAGGCTGCCATCTTGCTTCTGTGGGAGAAGTAAAAAAAACCCTGAATGGTCGCCTCGTATAACTTCCGCTTTCCTTTGGCGAACTCTTCGGCACGCAAGTTGTATGTGTGCGTGTGTGTGTGCTTGTGTGTGCTTTTGATTGTATGTATGCGTGTGAGCTTGTGTGTGTATGTGTGTGAGTATGAATGTGCGTGTGAGTGCGTGTGTGTGAGTAGGCCTACATGCGCGCGTGTGTGTGTGTGTGTTTGTGTGTGTGTGCGTGCGTGTGTGTGTGTGTGTGTGTGTGTGTGTGTGTGTGTGTGTGTGTGTGTGCTTACGTGATCTCTCGTACACGTAAAGCAGAACCGTTGGCCTATTGATTGTAGGACGTGTAAACAATTAATTACATGACTGTCATGACCTCTCCATGCTCTAGTTTGAAAACCAAACACCATCTCGACCCACGATGCCGTAATAATATTATTATTGAAATGAAAGAAAATTGTAATGTGTGCTAAAATTTGATCTGCGTGAGCACATTTTCTTGTACCGCAGCCTCAGCTTTTCGAACAGCTTCCATTTCCCATTTAAATCCCTACATGAAATGTATTTTAAGTTTATTTGAACCAGAGATCATTCCCATTAATCAAAGGTGAACTGCTACTTATAGAAAAATAAATAATTGTAATATATTATATAAAGTCTTCTTTCTTCAATGCGATTTGCATGGGCTTGACATGCTGGCTACGTGATGGGGTTTTGTTTTTTACATTGTTATTATTATGATTGTTTGTCTTCTCAGAGATAAAGTACGGAGGCTCTCGTGGCCTAGAGTTTAAGGTGCTCGCCTCTCATTCAAAGGTCGCGGGTTCGAATCTGGGTAGCGACGGAAAAAAATTATTCTCTAAAATTGTCTCCTTTCACCTTCTTTCATTCTCTCTTGCAATATTATGTCGTCTGCTTTTGTCTCCACTTTCTTCCCCTACCCCCTCACCTCCTTTGTCCCCTTCACTGGGCTCCTCTTTCTGCATTCTTTCTATTGCTACCCCTTGGTTCCTTCTACTGCTATCTTTCAGCCACACCCTGATCTTCAGGTAGGAATTAAAGATCTACACCTAGTACCTAGCCTTCTCGGACCAGGGCGAAAGCGGAGGTCCCATGTGCACGTTGCGCACGGTTAAGATTCCTTGGTGATCCAATATCAGGATTCGGCCGCCACCCAGGCAAAATTCAAAATTTCCTACCAATTTAAAATGTTTGATATGTCCTGCGCGCTCATATGACCTTATGTAGTTGCGAGCGCCGTAAAACGCTTACCAAAAAAAAAGATATATAAAAATATGCGCTTCGGCCATGGCTTTCTTTTGAAACAATACGTTCTACAATACTGAGCGTTACAACACAAAGACATGGTACAAAAGCGGGCACTGGAATTAGCACGCCCAGTTCAAAGAAATCTCTCTCTCTCTCTCTCTCTCTCTCTCTCTCTCTCTCTCTCTCTCTCTCTCTCTCTCTCTCTCTCTCTCTCTCTCTCTTATATCTCTGAGACCTAGGCATGTATGCCTACAATATTGTGCCTTGGTGTTATCGGTCCACGTTGCTTTTTTTTCTTTTTTTTTGTGGTCAATCCTTGACCTTTTGCCCCACATCTTGCCTTCGAGTATTTCCTTCATACTGGTCTGGTGGCGTTTTATAAGCCCAAAGTATTGTATTTTTCTATTTTCCATTTTGTCTTGTGTTAACACTACAGTCTGACACACCTTACTACATGTTATGATGTTGGTTAGACCCCTTTTTATGACTCCCACGTAGAATGGCCTATGTAATGTACACTTTGACTAAAATCCAATTTACTCGTGCAATGGGTCTATCGGTTTTTATTTTTAGTAGAGGTTTTACGGCACTCGCAACTGCACAAGGTCATATGAGCCCCAAGGGGTGGATGTCATCAATGAAGTCCTTACAGGGAATCAGACTTACTATGCTCACCTCTCTAGCTTCAACAGCACAAAGCCCGGAAATAACGGGTCACAAGCTTGGAGTAACTATATATTAATAGTTACTCCAAGGTCACAAGAGTGTGACAAACATACAATAAAAAAGAGAAGAGAAAAAATGACGATAGAAAGGATTAGGAAAGAAAAAGCAGCAGTTCCCAGTTGTAGTTCAGGCACAGTTATGAGCATGACATCGATGAATCAGCCCATTCACAATTCTACTGTGCAAAAGAACAGGTTAATACCCCCCTCCCCCCACCCGCGCCCACGGGATGGCCAAAAGACACGTCAGTAGCACCGACCTGGGAGGTAAATCTTAAGGCTTAGTCAAACAAGAGTTTCAAATTGTATACATGTATTGTCATCTAACAAAGGTATCACCGAAATTGAGTCAAACGTGTCTTAAATAAGAACTTATTGAAAAGTGTTAAGTCCACTTGTGTTGTTAAACCCCTTAAAATTCTGGCTGAGGGAATAATTGTTTGTTGTTTTGGTTTTGTGTGAGTGTGTTGTTGTTTTTTCTTTCAAAAATCGTTTATTTGTCATCTGAATGCACCACACTGTCGATATTTTAGAAGAAAAAAGAATTCTGCACAAACTGATATCAAATATTATGTTACATACATAATATTTGTAAAAATGTGTTTTTGCGTATTTCTCGAGATCATTCCTATGATAGTCCCCCCCCCCCCCCCCTCCCGCCCCCCCCCCCCCCCCTTTTTTCTTATTCTAACCCCTTTAAATGTTAGTACAATGTAGTAGGCTAAGATTATCATTTGACAGTGTTCATAGGGTGGGTAATGTATGCTATGCGTTTGCGTGCTGTGATGAGTGATCTAGCCTAATTTTCTTGTGTCCACGGTTGTCATGGAGTCTACCAGCGTTTTTTGGCCTACTTATCTTTCTATATAACAGAGTGATCATGTCACACCTCAGAGATATTATCCTTGTTCGTGCAAAAGGAATATTAAAAATAAATGTTGGATCAAGCTCGACAAGACCGACAAGCCAAGTTGTCAGGATAAAGTTTCGTTTCTGGCTGGAATGAGGCTGGGTAAGTAGGCCTAAACGTTTAGGCTAGTGGAGTATTTTGTCAAAGCTAGAATCTAAACAGTGAACAATCCTCTTTTTGAAGTAACTCTACTGATTTTCACCTGACGATGAGTTGCATATTTCTTTTGTGAGTACTGTCGCTGAGTTATGTTACGACAAGAACAAGCTTTGACTTTAAAAGCTCCAGGTCCACAACTTTTTTCTCCTGGGTCCTTCACGTGGACGACAAAAACGCACGACCGCAACTATTCATACTCGTAATTCATCCCCAAACCCCTGGGCTAAACTAACCACAATACAATGAGAATGGGGTGGGAATGTAGCCTATAGTGGCTGACAATTGCGACTCAGTATTGATGACGAAGAATAAAGACAAAGACTTATAAGTTCAAAAAGAAAGTGAAAAGCATAGGCCTACAGCTGAAAAATACATTAGGCAGGCCTTTAGAAACAGCACACCATTGGCCTAGATTCTACCGCAAACCTGTAAGAGATAAAAATAACAACAACAACAACAACAACAACAACAACAACAACAACAATACAACAACTGGGATAGGCCTATTATGTGCATGGTGCAGAATGCTGAAGAGTGATGTGGTATGGTTTGCCTACAAGACCGTGTCGTGTGTTATGACCTCGTAGCTCTGCTCTTATAACCTAACCAGACATTACTTAGCCTACCGGTTCAACCGGTCTAAACGGGACCGAGTAGATCTATTACATTTACAGCCTGGTCCGCAAGGAACGCACCTTATCATTCGATAGTGTGTTGGAGGTGATATAATGTGCTTGCCTCGTGGTGAGTGTTCTAGTTTATTTTTGTTCACGGGTGGCGTGGTGTCTCCTGACTCCTGACGTCATTTCGTCTACTCGTTCATTTTGGCACTCCCTTGGCCTATCAGGGGATAAAAACGTAATAAACAATACTCTTCTTATGAACATATTCGTCATGTCTGACTTTTACAGAGGTTTATTCACTCTCTCACAAACAAACACACACACACACACACACACACACACACACACACACACACACACACACA